CCCGGGCGGACGCTGTAGAACGCCGTCCCGCGCGAGCCGCGTAGGAGCCGGGCCCGCGAGGCCCACGTGCCAGTCCCGGAGCTGAGGCCTCACGAGGAGCCATACTAACCACGGGAGCCATGGCGGCAGGAGAGGCAGAAAGGGAGTTGAGCGAACTGCGCAGGCGCAAAGAGCCCGCAGCGCGCAGAGCACGTAGGGCTCAGGCCGTACCAATCGCTCCGCACCTTCCCTGGCTCGTCAGCGTTGCACCCTGTTCGGTTCGATCGGCGAGCGATTGTTTTCCCTGCTTGCAAAACCTGTCCCGTCGCAGGTCCGAGGAGGTGGTAGAGGGAAGATGGGAGCCGGGGGACCTCAGTTACCCCGAAGGGTCGGAGTAGGGGAGCCAGAGAAAGGAAGGGGTACGCCCTACATTTCAGAGTCTTGGGGGGAAAAAAGAAATTCACTAGATCGTCAGTTACCAGCTAATAGGATGGGAGTCGAACCCATTAACTTGGGGAGGAGAGTCCAGGCCCTTCTGTCCCAAGACCGAGGGCCCGCTGGCTTCTTCCTACCTAATACTCAGTTTGGGGGCTGGTGCCCAGGGCCTGGCTCTCCCAGCGCTGGCCTTTCCTGCCCCCATCAGGTACACTCTCCTGTGTGACCCCTTCACAATCTCAGATGCAAGCCGCCCACCCACGGGGCGGTCACCTCCTCGTGTGCAGCTCTGCCAGGGCTCAAACTGGCATGTAGACAGCGATCTCCTGGGGACCCGGTTAAAATGCAGGGCCCTAGTCAGTGGGTCTCAGTGCTTGAGACTGTGCATTTCTCTCAAGCTCCCAGGAGATGCTGCTGGCTGCTGGTGTGGTGCATGGACCGCAGTTGAATGGCAAAGGACTTCTTCCCCAGGCCTACCGTCCACTGACTGTGACAAGAAGAAAAAAAATAAATCAGAAATGTTCTAAATCAAAATCACAGAGGCTGGAGCCTGAGAGAAAGAGAACAGTTATCCTGTTAATAGCTGTGGGCCAGCTCTGACAAACGACTGTTCACGTTCCCTTTGATCTGTTAGGATTTAGGATTGATTTCCAGGTGCTGTTTCTGTGCTTAGAGAACCCCAGGAGCCTCTGCTTATTTACACATGAACGTTCCCATCTGCTGCCTGCAGCTCAACCACAGGAGCGGGCACTTCTTCCTTGGGGACTCTACAGATATTGGCCCCACTTCGGCTTCTCCCATCCACTTTCGTCTTCAGCTAATGTAAATGCTTTCAGAGTGGCTTCCTTACATCTTCCTCCCTGCTACCTGATGAATAAAAATGCTTGCAAAACTCCACTGCTGGTGGTTTAGACTCCATGCCCCAAGGCTGTTTGTTTGTTTGTTTGTTTGTTAGCTAGCAATGGCCTAAAGATCTTCTGCTGCGCAAGTTAAAATTTTTGTTTAACAACTGGAATACTTTCCCCGACCCTCACCCTCCTGTCCTTACCAACTGCATTCAGAGGTCCTGCATTGTAATCACTCAGTTGCAAACACCCTCTACTCCCTTTGCCTGGCTGCAATATACTCACCTAGCCAAAGCCCAATCCTGGCTTACAATGGTTGGAGGCAACACCACGCTGACTGGTCTAGGTTTAAACTCGGGCCTACGGTGCCCGTTGACCACGTTCCAAACCCACCCTGCTCTTCTTGACTGCAAACCACATTTCTGCTTTGCCAGCTGCCTCTGGCTAGGTTCTTTCAATAGGGGCACAAAGGGGAGACCAGGCTCTTCCTGTTCACTTCCTGCTTGTTCCCTTCTGTTGGCATCACCCACTCTTGTTCCTTCACCTGAGCAGTGGCAGCTGGAACATTCCAGAAGCAGCAGTTGAATCTGGTTTGCAGTTACTCCAACACTGTGCTCCTCAAAGGCCCCAACAGAGCAACCCCTCCTTGAGGGACCCCTCCTTGGAACTTCTACATTTTAATAGTTACTCCCTAGGGGTGGCAGCTGCTTCCTGCAGAGACTACTGTTTTTATTTCACCCTTTCAGTGACCTAGTTTACAAGTCTTTATTCCATTTTTTATTTTTTTTTAATCCTCACCAAGGACATTTTTTCCGTTGCTTTTCGGAGAAAGTGAAAGAGAGAGATGTGAGAGAGACACTTGGATTAGTCACCTCCTGCACAGGCCCCAACCAGGGCCAGGGATCAAGCCTGGAACCAAGGTACATGCCCTGGGCTGGAATCGAATCTGGGACCCTTCAGTCCCCGGGGCCGATGCTCTAACCACTGAGCCAAACTGGCCAGGGCTACAAGTCTTTATTTCTAATTAACAATCCTTTATACACAAGTGTGCATTCTCCTCATACCTCTCCTAACCCTGAGCAAGCCCTTGGGGTGCTTTCCAATCCTAAAATCCTCTCCTAAGTGAGTATTTTACACCTCTGGTCAGAATGCCAGGCACTACACCCCAAACCTTGCTCTCAGTTGATGACTTCCATTGCTCTTTCTTTGAAAACACTAAAGCAATTCTAAGAAAACTAGAGATACTCCTGCCTCCATATCTAACCACCCAGCAACATCTATACCACACACTCTTCCTCCCCTCCTGTTACTATGGAAGAAGTGTCCTTGCCCCCATCTGAGGCCAACACCAACAGTTAGGCATTTATCTCTACACTTCTGCCTCCTTGAGAACATCACTCCAACAGCCCTTCCCCTTCCCATTAAATCATCAATGTATCTTTCTTCTGGACCAGTCTTTACTCTCATCTTAAAAAAGAAAAAGCAATCCCTTGACCCCCAACATTTCCTTTCAATTACTACCCCTTTTCTCTGCATCTCTGCTACAGATAGCATGTTTGTGTACCACCCACAATTCATATGTTGAAGCCCTAACTCCCACTGTGATGGTATTAGGTGTGGCCTTTAGGTTTAGATGATGTCATAAGGGTAGGTAGGCCCCATAGTGGGACTGATATCCTTATAAAATAAAGAGACATGCCTGGCCACTGTGGCTCAGTGGTTGAGCGTCTACCCAGGAACCAAGAGGTCACAGTTTCCATTCCCCATCAGGACACATTTCTGGGTTGTGGGCTCAGTCCCCAGTAGGGGGCGTGCAGGAGGCAACCAGTTGATGATGTTTCTCTCTCATCCATGTTTCTCTCTATCCCTCTCCCTTCCTCTCTCTAAAAAACATATTTTAAAAAAATAAAGAGACACAAGATCTCCCTTCTACGTGAGGATGAAGCTAGAAGGCTGCCTGCCAGCTACAAGCCAGAAAGAGTTTCCTCATCAGGAACCAAATCTGCCAGCACGTTGATCTCAGGCTGCCCAGACTCCAGAGCTGTGAGAAGTGGATGGATTTCTGTGGTTTGAGTCACCCAGTCCGGTAATTTTGTTATAGCAGCCTGAACAAAGAGACAGTGTCTTTACAATTTTCTTAGAAGGGTTGCTTCTGTGTGCTGTCTGCAATCTCTCTTTTCCCATTTTCTGTGGAAACCACCCTGGTCAGGCTTTTGCCCAACAGCCACCTGGACAGCTCTGTTAAAGTCCCTGGTGACATCTGCCCGCTAAGCACAGGGTTCAGGTCTCACCTCTCTTCTTCCCGTTTATCTTAGAAGCTGGTGCCACAGGTCCTTCCCTCCTCCTCACTGCTCCCTCCAGCTTCGTGCACTGGAAGGGCTGCGGGGCACAGAGCTCCCCTCATCTCCACCTGTATTTGACCTTTGGCAGGACCCAGGCTGGTGCCTCTAAACACGACTCCCCAAGTCTGTGTGGGCAGCCTTGACTACTCCCAGGAGCCCTGACTCATACAGTCAGCAGCCTCCCCACATCTCTAGTCTAGCATGTCAGTAGATCACCCCCACCCCCACTTCCCCACCGTTACCCTCCCCATACTTCATGCCCTCACTCTCAGCCCCACCCCCACCCCAAGGTCCTTCCTCTCTACCCACTTTGGTCTTCTTTTCTTTCCTGTGAATTTATTCCAGCTCCTGGGAACTTGTACTTACTGCTCCCTCTGCTTTGAACTCTCCCTGGCATTTCTTGTGCCTGATTCCTCCTGGTCCTCCAGGGTCTCGCTCTCTCTTTGCCTATGGGCGTCTCGGGTGCCCTCAGCTCCACCCCCTCCCAGCCGCCCTCCATCACACCAGCGTGATCACTTTCTTTGGAACATGTAACATAGTCTGCCATTACTGTACTTGTTTATTTGTGTACTTGGTTAACCTTAGCTGGTGTGTTCCCTTCTTTGTGTATGGGCCATGACAGATGCTCAATAAATAAATACTGTTCTTATAGATGAAGATGAGAATGGATGAATTAAATAAGTCTGAATATCAGGAACAAACATCCACCTCCTACTGCCCCTCCAGAGGGAAACTAATGCATCATTCGTTTATAAAGCACCTACCTGGTTTTGTATAGCAGCTCTATCACTTACTAGGGTAACATTTTCTACCTCCCTAAGGTTGTTGTCAGGATTAACAAGTAAAAGAACTTTGAATAATACTGTGGCCCATAAACATTACCCATTGTTATTACTGTCATCATGACTTGGAGCACAAATGGAACCAGGGCTAGAGAGGACCCTTAAAAACAACAGGTAGTTTCTGCCTAGAATTCACTTCCTTTCTTTCCCCTTGGCAAACTCCTATACATCCGTCAAAACCCAGCTTGAATATTATCTCCTACTTTTTTCTAACCGATTAGTAGGACTTTATTGAGCACCTTCTGTGGGTCAGGCTCTCGGCTCGACTTTCAATTTCAAGAAGGGCAAGGACAGGGGCTGTTTTCCCAGAGCTCAGTGTGCAAAGAAAGCAGATAATGACCTAGGGATGAAGGGCATTCTGGAGAAAATTATACTGGGAGAAACAAGTGCTCACCAGGCCTAGAATGGCAGAGGGGACCCTGCAGGAAAGGCTCAGAGCCTCCCCTTCTACCCTCCCTCCCAAACCCACTCACCTGATGATGGGGGTGGAGCCTACTTATTTGGAAGCCCAGTATTCGAATTTCACTTGAGAAAAGTCTCGAACCATCACTGGGAGGCCCGCCCCGTTCTACCCAAGCTCTGAGGCGCTGAGAGGTCAAAACTCAGCCAAGAGCCGCCAACCAGCCAAAGGGAGGCCGGGGATTCCAAGCCCTCTCACGCCCGGTCGCCTGTACGGGGTGTCTGGGGAGGGGCGTCCGCTGCTCTCTATCGCCCCCGATTGGCAGCGTTGGAAATGGGGCGGCGGGGACCCACTCCTGTTCCCGCACAAGTCCCAGGGCTGCAAGGCCCCGCGCTCCTGGGGCCGCGTACTCGGGGTCCTGTCTTCCCAGGAGGGGTCCTCTCCGAGCCCGGGACCCTCTCGCGGCGCAGTCCTTTGCAGCCGCGGAATCTCCGCCTCTCCTCCCGGACCGGGGGTGGAGTGGCCGTGGCCGTGGCCGTGGCACCGGCCGTCCCGGTTCTCGCCGCGAGGCAGCCGCCTGCGTGGGGCACGTGGACGGGGGCACCGCGCCCGAGCAGTGGTGCGGCCCAGCGCGGAAGGGGTGTCGCCTGCAGGTCACTCAGAGGACAGCGGGAGGGGAATTCCTGGGGTGGGAGAGGTGGAGGCAAGGGGAGGCTGGCCGTTGGATAAAAGAATTGCTGGTTCCAGCGGCCTGACCTTCCAGGGCCACCGCTGGGGTGTGGGAGAGCTGGGCGCGCGGGCACCGGACCGACCCTCCCGCACGCTCGCTGCCGCTCTCCGTGCGCGCCAAGCGCAAGCCCCGGGCCCTTGCTGCTCCCCGCCCCGTGGCCGTGGACGCCCCGCCGCCGCCCTGCGCTGTCCCCGCAAATGTCGGGAGCTATCTTCGCGCCCCTGGAGGGTCCAGGCGT